GCGCTTCTGCTCTGCTTGCTCTTCTAGTCGTTTTTGTTCCATTTCTAGACGTTTTTCCTCTAACTCGGCCAGTTCTTGTGCAGCTTGAGCTTCTGCCAACCGGCGCATGGTCGCGGCGCTGGAGCGCGTGCTCGATGATCGCGAGCACGGCGCTCTCGGTTGGTCAGAAACAGCTTGTTGGTCGACAGAATCAATATGTGGTTCACTTACATGGGCCTGGTCATTGTTCGTGCCCTTATTTAGTCTTGCGCTACGGCGCAATGTTTTATCTTGATCCATTACGGCAAATTAAAGGACCACAAAATGTAAATAATCGGTAAACTAAAAACGTAAATAAAAATATGTCAATTCCTTCGATGATGCTCTGATTTTTCTCAAGTATATATCAAAGTCACTATTTACATAATATTTCAAAATAATGGTCAAAGCTTATGGCATTTAGGTATAAGGACCAAAGGTCAAAAGAAGACGCTGAGCTCACACATAGCATAGTGTATATTGATAATGGGCAGACATTTTCACATTTTTTCATCTGTCACGTAATTAACTCATTCAGAACCCTACATAATATGCGGAACGAATATTTTCAGGATGTGTAAAGACTCGTAAATACCAAATGAAATATGACATCAAAAAAAAATGTTATTAGGTATCTTTATTATACATAATTGCCTGCCGTGTGCAGTATTTTAATGTGTGTAATAAACTGTTACCTTCTTACGATAATTTATACCAGAAGACCATTGACCCCGGCTTATTGGTCAGGGTGGCTGTAATCATAAAAATACTAGGCAGTAGCAAGATGGTCTTTGCTAAATTTGGTATAAAATGTTCAGTACTAAAGTCCAGTAGATAGTAATTTAGGTACAGTAATCTAGATTGAAAACTAAAAAATACGACGAGTTCGAAAACAATTGTTTTGCAAAGTTTTTAGTTCAAAGGCATGTGGGAAATAAAATATTAGCTGAAAATATTATTAAATTTACTAACTGATTCATAATATGAAGGTTATGTGTAAATATTTTTTATTGTTTATAGTAGGCTTAAAAACCAAGCGACAGCGACAACGACGCGCGTCCCAGTAGTAGTTGGTTGGTGTAACAAACATTTAAACATAAATTTGCAACTCTTTGTTCGAATTCTCTTCGGAATTTATCACTACAACATTCGTTGTCGGCTCCATTTTCAGCTAGAAAAATTACTCAAATATAACAGATAGATTTATCGTATCTTTTAAGTTTGAGGCCCGGTATTATATCCTAATAAACAGCATTAGTGCAACATTCAAAATGTCCGATTCAAAAATTGTGAAACTCTACATCTATGACCCTTGCCCATCCTGTTCTGCTGGCATTTGTAAAACCTTAGAAATAATATACATTAGGTACTACGTAAGTACACTCGCCACCATAATTTACTGTAAACTTTATTATAACAATATTGAAAGGCAATAAAATATGAAGCACCATTCGTACCAAGTAAATCATAAACGTGCGTGCTCTTTAAAACTATTTCAACACTATAAATAATATCTCTGAAGTTATGAACGGAATTATGGTAAAGCAAATTGCGTATTACCAGATGTTCCCATTCAAGTGTTGGTTGTAAATGAATAGTGACGTAAATACGACACAGTAAATGTCAAAAGGATCTAATAACTAGCAAGTAAGGTGACAGATGCCTAATGCTTTTAAATACCTACCTAGTTGATTATGTTGTGTCAGTATATAGACCCTAGGATTTTCGCGATTGTCACTTGTTATAAAAGGTCCTATTAAATTCACTGCAAATATTTTAGGGGCGGATCAAATAAAATATAAGCATGTACTAGGCAAATTTTTAAAGAAATCTACATGCTAGTTTTCGAGAAAATTGCATTTAACTAAAAAAACACAAAACGAAAAAAGTGCACCCTGTTTGTCAGAGACACACACACGTCGATGAATTTAAATTACGCGCCAAAAAAAGGTGCTGTGATTGGTTAGTTTTCAGTGTGCGTGCCGGTTAAGTGAATCCTGTCTACGCGGTGAACATCAGTCGGGTCAGTCAAAGGTGTTCACATAATTAATTAAAAAGTTTGTTTGAAAATGAAATAAAAAATCTAGCGCGTAGATTTTTTTTAAAATGCCTTAGATGGTTTTCTAATACATATTTACGCATGCCCTTAAAATAATTGCAGTGAATTTAATAGGACCTTATATACTATGCTACCGTCAAGAATCTCAAAGTATAAGAATATCAAAACAGCAAAATCTGATACAAGAATATAATGATTCTGAGCCAATTTTAATCCAAGAAATATGACTTTCGTGGTTACCATTTTCTAAGTTACCTTGAATTTCCTATGCAATTCCAGTTCATTCCAATAAGCATCAGTAAACATCAAAATCGTCGTTAGTGCTGAGCGAGTCATCTGTAAAGGTGTTCCCCGCGCCGTCTCCCTAATGTGCGGTACTAACTAGGCCCTACCGCTCAAACCCTACTAGGTCCGTGGCTAAAAGTATCCTGATTGGTACTTAATGTCAAGCAATCGGATACCGGTACCTAATTACCTATATACCCAGCAAGTACTGGTCAGGTTTGATTTCTTGAAGTCTATAAATTCTATGAACAAAAGACATCAACGCGTGCATTTAATAATTTATCTTTGGGGCACAAAAATTAAATTTAGGTTTACGAGTATATTACCAAAAATGAAAATATTTATTGTAAGAACTAGCTATATATTATGAAATTAAAAAATTATAAAACAGTATTCTAATGATAAGATTTTGGAATAAAAGTATCATGATCATAACTACAGCTACATAAAGTGATTATTGGTAGATTGAACTTACCTACTTTATAGGAATCTCTATGACTTGAAAGTAGATGGCATCATAATTTTAAATTGTTTTTGTTCACGTACTAAACAATCAATATTCTACTTAGATACATCGTAACGTAATGCAAAAAAATGCATTGCATTATTGCGACTCCTACCGCTGAAATTTTCCAAACAACCTATAACATATTTTACATCTTCCTTCAAATGTGATTATTTGACTTAATGTCAAAGCATTCAAAAACACAAGAAAAACACAAAAATAAAACGCCACATAAATTATTTTTCTTTTTATTTGAGTATCAAAAATATGATAACTTACTATAGAGTTTATTTACAAAAGTAAAAAAAGGAGAACATTTTCAGGCAGTATCTTTGAAGTATGATCGTAGTATTTTATTTAAAAGTATAATGAGTATTTTTCAGTAGAAAGTGTAATAAGATAAATTATGACTTAAAAGTGTATAAGTATAGCCTCTTTTGTTGTTTATCTGATTTAAGAAGTAGAATACATAAACAAGTTTCTTTGCCTTCGACAAATCATACTCCTGTAATACACGATCATACAAAAACTTCAACTTATCGTCTTACTACGTAAATCACTTCAGTCAATAGCCAGTGACTGCACTAGGCTAGGTGTATAAATAGGCTTCTACCGTTGGTAGTAGCGACCTCTATGTGTCTACTGCTGGTAGTATTGACCCTTGTAGTCTAGGGCAGCTCTGTCTTCGTGATATTTGGTTGCCTCTGGGTTGTTCTTTGATTCTTGCGCGGCACGTTCCTGGAAAAGATACAAGCAATAATAAATACGGGGTGTAAGAGACGGTGTAACGAAAACTTTGCAGGCGTGCTCAGACCATGAAACTGAACAAACAACATTCCCCGTGGAACATAATATTGTGGTAAACAAAAAATATTTTCGGTCGTCTTATTTAGGTACTAGAGTTAGGCTCCACCCACGTTTATTTTCATTCGTGGTACTTTGAATCGCTAACTAGGTATTATGTTTGTTGTATTACATCAAAATATTTTCCTATATTTAATGTCATCAAAACACGACAAATTAATTATTATTATAATATTATTATGCACCATATGACCCTTACAATATAGTTTATGGATCATACAATATAATTATAGACTATAATCAAAGAACTATACCGAAAAACTACATCATCAGTCTACTAACTTAATCTGTTGCGACTTTTTTTACAATAAACAAGATTAAAATGTGGTAAGCAGTTGCCTAACACTAATAACATGTATGTTGATCGCCGGTGTCTCAAACTCGTCGAAGAGAAATAATTCTTTAACCCTTTAAAAGGCAGAGCCTGTAATTTTTTTCATTGATTTTGACATCTATTGCAAACAGCTAAGGTTCACTTTTCGATAAACCGCTAGGCCGCCAAATGACCTTGACATCGTCTTCGCGTGATCTCGAGAAATTGAGCGACGGACAGACACGCATATTCATTAAGTGTGTAATATGAGGCGTGTAAAATTTTTGGAAATTTCTTATCTCTACAAGTGGGCAACCGGCTTTTGTTTGTATAAGGTTATACTAGCTCTTGATAGGCTTTTTGTACATTGAAGAATGTAGAATGTTGACCAGTTTGGTTGTTTCAAATAAGTGACTATAGATTGTTATTATATAAAATACAAAGATAATAAAATGTTACTTTTTCCTGGTATCGATAACTGTGATCAAAAGGAATCCTATATCTTTTTAACGAATTCATCTACCTTATCACGATTAGGATCAAGTAAACTTACCGCGTTGGCCCTGATTCCCTCGTAGATCAGGTCCAGTCCCTTCTGGATTTCAGGGGAGACGGGGGGAGGGGTGGGGATGTGGTCTCCCTTGACCCTGAAGCCGAACTCATCAGCGGTGTATTCCACGGTGATGACCTGGCCGTCAGGAGCCGTGTAGGAGTACGAACCGCTCTGAACCAAAGCGTTCTGGTCTTCGCCAACTGCTCTTAAGAATCCTGACTCTTGAGCAGTGATGTGGTTGCCGGTCTCGTAACTGGAATGAGAAAAAACAGAGTGTTAAGTATGGTAGGTGGCAAAGAACTACTTATTACAGAAAAAATTTACTCGCAGAATTTCGATTACCTATCTAAAATTATCTAATTGATTTATTTTTTGAAAACTTCCATTCGCAGGCTCGATTAGAACCGCGGTAGCCCAGTTGGTAGTGGCGTCAGCAGTACAGATGCCGAAGGTCGCAGGTTTAAATCCTGCCTGCGGTGCAAAATTTTGGAAGTTTTCCAAAAATTGTATACCTAACACGAGAAGTGTTTTAAATTTGGTATTCAATTCATCTTATTGATTTACTTAATCAAAACTGTAGATAGCAAATACTTGACACAAGTTGTTAGAGTATGGATATTACATTTGATTGTACACTTTCATATAACATAATTATAAATATATCAATATTCCATACTTAAAATGCTGATTGCAATCAAAAATTCTTCTAAGCTTTGTGTGCCAAAAGAATCTAGTTCAGCAGGAACTCTACATAACTCGTCTTTGTTATCTCCTCCATTGTTTCACTTGAACACAATACTAACTTAATGATGTCGTATTGGGCAAGTCACGGTCAAGTGGGCGGTGAAATTGCATGCAGTATTATGTATCACCATTATGTGATAATACTGAGAATGTACGTAATATGTTCCGGCGTTCTAACTAGCCCCTGCCAGCGGAAATTAGACACACTCGATTGGACATTTGAATAGTAATTAATGGCAATTGAACTTATTACTTACAATTTTACTTCATAACTTATACTTATTTGTTTAATGTTTAGTCGTCTATACCATCAGTTACATTGAGTCTTTTCTGAACCACCGCTAAAAACGTTACTGACTTGATTGATATAAATAATCATCAAAAGTACTTACGACGTCTTATAGCTTCCATCAGTTCCCTGTTCTTTGTCAAAATGGATGATGGGGATGAAGGTCGTGGTCTCTAGGGATTTCGGCCTGAAGTCTTCAATCTTGGCGGGCTGTCGGAACTCTTGCGGCTGCTGTTGGCGGTAGTCCTGCTGTTGCTGTCTGTAGTCGTTCTGGGGCTGGTAGTTGTTGTAGTTCTGCTCGGCTGTCTGCTGGTCCTCGGAGGCGGCTTGAGGCTCAGGCTTGGGTACTCTTCGCTGGGGAAGAGCTGCCGCAAGGGACAGCACGGCGGATACTACTATCTGGAAAACGAAAGATGGAAGATTATAAGATTAAATTTTTATTATCAAAAGATGATGAAGATCTACATGCAGCAAAAATGCCAGGACAAAAAAAAGAGTGAAGGAAGACATAGAACTCTTGAAAGTAAAATGCTTAGTCTACATGTCTTAAGGAGATAGCTAAATACACTAAGCTCTACATAAAAAATCTAAAGTTGTGTGGATACACGTTCTATTACGTAAAGTTAAAAACACAGAACAACACTTTGAATTCGGTATCTGCCTTTGATCTACGTAAGACAAATGAATGAGCTTATGTTCTGTAAGATAACACCATTTTATTAATAAATCAGCTGATGTCAGACCGAGAAGCTTAATCATATTCGTAATGTTGCAAGATAAGATGTAGCAGATGCCAGATACAATAGTCATTGTGAAACAGCCTCATTCGCCACGCCAGGTTGGGCGAAAGTGGGCTGCGTAACTTGTATTGGCACTGGCACTCACATATCCACAACTACATACTATTGTCTGCAGATCCTCTTGACTTTTGGATACGCTTTGTTTACGCAGACAGCTCATGTCAGAAGCTATTACACCATGGACTCGCTGAACGTTGAGTCAAAGTTATAGTATTACTTGAGGTTGTTACAGAGAACGTGCCGAAGTATGCTAATTTGTCATTCAGAATTACATCCTTTTCAAAGAGCATGCTTGAAATGTGAGATGAAATGAGAAAAAAAGTCTCCGCAGCAGAATGCGTCTAATTGACAAAAATATTTGTTGATTTAATGTATGAAATACAATAATTATTTTCGTACATATCCAACTTGATTGACATGAAAAATATTTAATTATCACAAACGCAATCTAATCCGTAAGACTATTCTAACAAATGAGACATCATGATGTTTTGTATAACTGTACGTGCCACTTAAATTTTAAGACGAGTAACTAGCAATTAGTACATGTAGTTTCATTTTATGGAAGTCTTAACGAGATGCATGAAATAATGTTATGTAAGTATTGAGTGATTGCAGGCTCCTCCAAAAATGGACTCTTGAGTAAAATGGTATACGGACGGGGTGTTAGGGACGGTGTAATGAAAACTTTGCAGGCGTGCTCAGACCATGAAACTGAACAACTTTTACTATAGAGCCAATGGCCAAAAAATTTTCCGACCTCCCATACAAAGTCAGTCAGCTGATCGTGAATTTTATATGGGAGGTCGGAATTTGTTTTTCGTTTCCCACCATTGGCTCCATGGTAAAAGTTGTTCAGTTTGATGGTCTGATCATGCCTGCAAAGTTTTCGTTACGCCGTCCCTAACACCCTGTATTCAATCAAACAATTATCTTGCAATCGGGCTTCTGCAGTTGCTATTGTTTACCCCTTAGTGAGTAGTTGTGATGTTACATCCTCTATGTGCTAACCAATCATTTGTAGTGTTTCGTATATTGCACTTTTTGTTCAGTGTTTTTATCATTTTATTACAAAATACCTACTCGTTTTCTTGCTTCATTTGTCCATTTTGGGTGTGCAGTGACCATTTTTGCACTAGTAGAGCCAAATATGCTTAGTTCATTACGTGCCTAGTTCTTTTCTAATACATTGTAAGAAGAAATATTAATTAACATAGCAATCCATTTGCTATTGATTGTGTGTTCTAACTGTTGCACCGATCTAAACTGATTTGAAATGAGGACAGGAAGATAATGATGATGATAGCAACGGGTCTCGAAAAGTAACGCAAAACAGTATTTAGTACACTACAGCGCAAAAAGTAGAAAAAAGAAGTTATCTACCGGTAATAATTTGAATAAAAGTTGACATAAACCATTTGTGAGGTGTAATGTGGGTCTGATATGGGACGCCTAATATACGTTCGAAAGTGATTTGACAACTGATAATCAGGCTCATTTGAAGTAAGCTTTTCTTTTGCAATTACTAGCAATTATTTATTGAACATTTGTGTCACATTACAAATAGCAAATATTGTCAATTGACAGAACCAGTCTACGAACGTAACCCGAAAACCTAAACCCAAATATTGCGGCCTAGAAACGACTATTATATAATCGTAATAACAAAACAGTATGACATGTTTGCAAGTGATAGGCTACTAATGACATGATAGATAGTGTAAAGTAACAATTAGTATCACAATCTTGCGTCAAATCTCTATCTTACAAATAATTATCAAAAACTGCCTAAGCTATATTCCTTTGCAACTCCAACCTTTATATCTGCAAATATTACGAAATTGTGGATGTCATAAAATCAACTCTGAGATGATGGTTATAATCAAACTGTATTATGATATAAATTAGAACACCATTTCGTCATAGAGTGAGCGAAGGGCTAGGTATAGTGAGTAGTTTACTTAGCGAAATTACTCTATGATCACTAGCATATCAACTTACTCATTGAGAGGCCATATTATACTGGTTTTCACACAAATACTGAGAGAAAGTTGTTCCCTGTAACCAGTAAAGTTGATCCCTTTAATGAGGAAGTTGATATGCTGGCGATAGCCTATCTATCTGAAGACTCATCTACTTTAATTAGGTAAACTGGCAGATTAATTAACAATGCTGCAGTAAATCTTACAAATTACTAACATTTGCCGGTTGTTAAACAAGATGTATTTTTTTCTTCGTTTAGTTATGTTGTATTATTGCTGTGAAAACTGGAGTGCATGACGGTATCGTTTAGGTAAACGGTTGTAATCGGATATGAGTGGTTTCAGTACTCTTTTGGACTAAATGTTTTACCGGTCTGGCTATTACTATTTGTTTCGAAACACACTTGCGAAAATTTGGAAGTAAGGATTGATTGATTTTTTTTATCAAAGTTTTCATATCTTAAAGTACCTTTTCTATACGGAGGTGTACAAAGCCATCCATTATACCTTTAAGAACCTACTGATATATTAGGTACTATAACAAAGTCTAGGTACATAATGCTCAGTTGAACTATTATTAATTGATGTTAAAGATATTACACTTAAATGCTGCCTAGTATTCCACGTAGAACCGCACAATCATAAACATTTAAAAAGATGTTGTACGAGATAAGGCAGAAGATGAAGCAATAATTAAATGCAGGTATTCGAAGATATGTCAAAGTTCAGCGCCGACGCGCTGGCCTTATTTGGGGCGGCTCTTGCAACAGCTGATCGCAGGGAATCCTCTAGCACTTGACGCAATCCACCAATCCCTTTCCAAAAATTATCACTCTTATCAAAATGTAGGTCAGCGTATCAAGGGCGTGGCGTTACTGGGTTAAGGGCGTATCAGGGACTCACCAGGAGCTTCATTGTGGTGTGTGACGTGCGGCGGTGAAGCACGTGGAGGCTCGTGAACTATGTCAGAGTGGTAGTAGTGCGCTCACTTTTATACTACACCCCTGCCACTTGCTCGCGCTGCTCCGACCCATCACACTTTCATACACAATCTGCCTCTGCAATACGCTGCAGCAGCCAACGCCTTGGTTTTTTCGATTTTATTATCGATATCAGTAGTCGTGACTGCTGGGTTGACTCTCTTATCGTTAATTTGCTTACAGTGAAACAGATTACTAAAGTGCATCACGATTATAGTCCGACCTATAAACTTCGTTCTTAATTAAACGATTGCAATTTAGTGCAAATAAATCTCATTCTCTACAATGGTGTACTTTATTTCAAGACCTAGTTTTTGATTAGGTAACAGAGGTCCAATAATTTAAAGAAAATATTTTTACTGGTCACTGGAAATCTCAAGGGGGTTAAATGACTATGAAATTTCGTTGGATCTCCTATAAAAAGGTGTATTCATTCACAGCAGATAAGTAATAGTTGTCTGCTTCTAAACGTATGCCTCCCCCAGGTACAATCTCCCGTTTTCACCAATCAGTCAAGCAATAGCAGCAAAAGCCGAAGACCTTATAAATATACAGCTAGAGAAAACCACTACATTGATTTTGAAATAACTTCATGAATTTATTTTCGTATGCCGTTTGTACTGCATGCACTGACGTGACTTTGTTAATACTATTGTTTTTCTTCAAGTATATTATGATATCAAA